CCCAGGCCTCAACCCCAGCCCCAGGCCCCGACTGCAGGTCCTGACAACCCCAGAGTTCGATCCCAATCCCAATTTCCACCTCACCCCCCCCCCCCGGCCCCCAACCCCAACTCAAACCCAGCCCCAGCCCTGAGCCCCAGTCCCCACCCCCAGGCCTCAGCCCCATCCCCACCTCCAGGCCCGGCTGTGGCTCCAGCCCCCACACCAGCAATGTCTGCGCGCTGCCCGCAGGCACCCGGAACTCCAGCACCTCCGCCATGCCCGCTCCTCCTTCCTCCCTCCCCTTTACCAGCCCTCAGCCCGCCCCAAACCCTCCCTGCGTCCCCAGCCAGCAGCCAGCAGACAAAGCTCAGCGTTGCGGGATTTTATTCCTCGTGTTTTTGGTGTTGGGGTGGAGGGGAGGGGGGGGAATGGGGCCGTCAGCCGCGTCGCGGGCGCGGGGAGCCTCAGATGTTGCAGTTGCTCTCCCCAAAGCGCCGGCACTTCATCACCTTCAGGTAGGTCTCCACTTTGTGCAGGTCCTTCTTGAAGCAGGACAGCAGCCCGTAGTTCTTCAGCAGGGCGTCCTCGCTGCGCAGGTGGATGTCGAACCTGTCGTAGGTGGGTCTGAGGAGCTGCGGGCCCCGCGGGCTGCGGTCCTCCAACTCCTGCGGGATGAGAGGGCTGCGGCTGAGCGAGGGGCTGCTGGCGAAGTGAGGCTGTCTTTGCTCCTGCTTTAACAGTGAACAAAGCTCTGACCCAGCCCTGGGCATCATGGAGCTGTGAGCTGCAGCCCCTGCTCACCCCGCGTGGCTCAGGACTGTTTGGGGTGAGTGAACAGTTCTGGGTGCTCTGGGTGCTCAGGACCTGCACTCGTATCAATGGACGGCAAAATCTGGAAGCGGTGCTGCGTGTGGAGCTGCAGCTGGAGTGTGATGGGATCACGGTGTGGTTGGGTTGGAAGGGACCTCAAACTGCAGGACTGTGGAATCACAGCCTGGTTGGGTTGGAAGGGACCTTGAAGTTCGTAGTACCATTGGATCACAGCATAATTGGGTTGGAAGGAACCTCAGAGATCACAGAACCATGGAATTACAGCACGGTTGGGTGGGAAGGGACCTCAAAGCGCCCCCAGTCCCACCCCCTGCCATGGGCTGGGTGCCCCCCACCAACTCAGGCTGCCCAGGGCCCCATCCGTGGCATTGAGACCTCCAGGGAAGGGGCACCACAACTTTTCTGCACAAAAATGTCAGGACAGAGGGTCTGTTTGCTCCCAGGCCTGGCTTTTCTAGTTATTTAGGGTCTATAAGATATAAACAATTGTCCGTGCTCATGTGGCACAGGTGTGGGTCTCTAGCTGTGGTGATGCTGAGCACATCCAAGAAAGGATTCTGACAATAAGCAACATCATTCAAAATAGCAAAGCGAAACTTCATCATGGAGCTGTTAATGTTGGAAAGACCCAAAGCCCAGCCCCAACCCACCCCCACCGTCCCATAACCACGTCCCTCAGTGTCACATCCCCACGTTCCTGGGACACCTCCAGGGATGGTGAACCCCCCCCAGCTCCATGGGCAGCCGTGCCAATGCGTTAAGAACAGCCCCTGTGAGTCTGGGCCCTGCGTTCACCTAAATGTCAGGGAAGAGAGAAATATCCGAGCGCAGGCCCCCATCAGGACGCAGACTTACCCTCATCAGGGCTTGGATCCCTTCTTCCAGGTCCTTTAGTTTCTCAAACACTCTGTCTGAGGTGCCGAAAACCAAATTGTTTGTGAACACCTTGCTTAGGTATTGCACGGGGGTCAGCCAGGACTGGATGAGAACCAGTGAAAACCGAAGCAGCTCCATGTCCTGAAATTACCAAAGGATTTCAGAGCTGTGCAGTGAGGTGTTCCTACAGTGCTGCTGCGTGCCCTGCTCTCCCTGAAGCAGCCCGGAGGAGCTGAGCGCCACCGCTCAGACCTGAGTCCCTTTTCTGAAGACTTTATTTAGGGTGGGAATAGGATTTCCTGCCCGACCTGTGTCTTTCTGCACGCAGGGTGTGAAGAGTAAGAATCCCAGGAGAGGAGCCACGTGGAAGCCCTGTGTTCCATAGAGCAGCGCTGTGTGCGCCGGGGGGAGACGACTCACCGATTTCTGCTGGGCGTCATCCTTCCCTGTGGGAGCCGGGATGGTTTCCGAGTAACAAAAGGCGGCCTGGGAGTTTTTGTTGGTGTACCTCTGGTCCTCTGGAATGTAGGTGCGTTCCTGTGGAGACACCCCAGAGACACTCAGAGCGTGTAGAAGACGAGAGAAGAGCACGGACTCTTTCCTCTCTCTTTCCTGGCAGGTTGCAAGAAGGAAACGTGGGACACGATGTGCGTCTCTGTGCAGGACAGGCAGGGGGGAAAGCGGAGCACAGCACTGCTGGACTTACGGATCTGCTCTCACTGAGGCAGAGGGCTGAGGTGAGCACAGAACACACGGACAGGAGCAGGGGACTCCATGCAGGAGGAGGCAGAGAGCCGTGGGGAGGGCGGGCTGGTCGGTCGTCAGCTGTCCTGCCCCATGCAGACCCTTCCTCCTCCTCAGGAGACACTGACAGCTGAGAAGTCTTTGCTTGCAGGGATGTAGGCAGGGTGGGAAGCCACGGCGCACTCCTGGCAACATCAAGCTAACAAGACGGCCAACACTTACGAACTCTTTGTACGTCTCAGCAGCCAGGAGGTGGAGGTGCTGAGCCCTCAGCACAGCGTTGGCAAACAGGTTGGAGAGGGGCATGGCAGGGAAGGTGGCAGCAGCGCCCTGCGGCAGTCCCAGCGTGAGCACAGCAACGAGGAGAGGAGAAAACCACGAGCCTGCAGCAGAGCAGAGAGGAGACGGGTTGCAGGAGAGGGGTTACCTGTCCTTCGGTGGCACCTGGGGATCAGTGTTGCGCCCACCTGTGAGTGCAGCCCCCCACAAAACCCCATCCCCTCTCACTGGGTGCGCCCCTGATGCTCAGGAATCATTGTTGCTCCATGGAAACTGGAGTTCATCCCTTTGCTTTCCCCTCATGTTTTTCAGTAGGTTTCACCTTCCCGAGCAGAGCACGGGGCGCCCTTTGGTGCCTGAGCAAACAGGGTGGAGAGCAGTGGGTGAGGAGTGGGAACGGCTCAGCTGAGCCCCTGCACCATGCTGCTGCCACTGCACTGCCTCCACTGGGACGAGAGGTGGTTGCATTGCCTGCGCTGTGGCTCCCTGGGACCCAGCTAGGATCTGGAGGTCACTACCAAGCCTGAAGGTTATTAACCCTTCACATCAGCTCACACCAGTGTCCACTTACACAGGTTAATCTCAGTGGAGGTGAACTGGAGTGGAGGAATGCTCTGGAGCCTGCAGGACTTGGACAAGTGCAGGATTGAATTGTTATCTTTGAAGTGCCTTTCAACCCAGGCCATTCTGAGGGTCTACGATTAGACATCACCCTGATCTCTGTTCAGAGCCTTGGAATTGAGTTTTCATATCCCTGGCAGCACATATGATAGCGATCACTGTTAGAGCTCTGCTTTGCCTCGTTCTCTGTATTCTGCCCCTTGCCAAGGTTGGGCTCAGGGTTACCTGACTGTTCGTGGTATGAAGTCGCGCTGTAGGGAAAGATGTCCTTTGTCACTGATCTGTAAGCTGCCACGTTTTAATTCAGAGCCCCCCGGCGCTGCCCCACCATTGCGTCCCACCACCCAAAGCGCTTTGATGGCGCGTCTGTTAAAGCTGAGGTAAAGCAAAGTACCTGGAGCCATTCCTGCCAGGAGAGCTGCTCGGGAGCTGCTTGAGCGTTTCCTCCTTTCATCCAGGTGATGATGCCAGGTCAGACACCCCTTATATAGGGGGCTCTGTTTAAAATGGATGGGGCGTTCGCCATCGCTGCCACCTCTCCATATCCCCTCCTTGCATAAATGCAGATGTGCTCGCCATGGTGCCACCTCATTCTAGTCATTTATACGGAGATGGAAAGGTTGGGGAGGATGTTTGCCTGGGGATAAAATTAGTGCTGAACTTTTTCTTCATATTCTGCTGTTTATTGCAACCAGAGGTTATATCACCATTGGAAAACCCATCCCAAATCTGTTCTGTGCTTACACGGTGAGATTTCCCACACAGGTAGAAAATACAGCTGGTTTTCCTGCCTGGTTTTTCTGCCCCACAGTTCACGGGGCCGGCAGGGCAGCGCAGGGGACTTCTGGCTTAGAGCAGGTGGGATGGTTCCCCATGTAGTGGGGTTAGGATGGGTGTTGTCAGAAGAGCTTCCCAGGCAGTGCTCGCTTGGATCCACCTGCCCATGCGGAAGCCAGTGGCAGAGCTCTGGGACGTCTCTCAGCTCCTCCTTTGGACAAAGCTTTGGGGTCAGGCGATGGCAGTGATCCCACAGCCTTGTGCTTTCTTTGTGAGAAAAAACTGGCAGTCAGCTGCTTTCTGCTTCTGCCCGGTGGGAATGAGAGCCGGCTCTGCATTAAGCAGAGGAGCGGTGTGGAGAGGAGGAAGAGAAGAAGGGGAAGAGCAGGAGCCCCAGCACGCCTTTCCCCGAGCCGCACGAGGCGGAACCTGGGGTGGACGACTGCAGGAGGGCTTTCACTCCCCATAGGGCACCGACAGCACTTTGCCCCCCTGGCTGTGGGTCCAACCTGCCCCTGGTTGGGCTCTGATTTCCAAGAGCAGCATCATCACCGCAGCGCAGGGTGTGAGAGCTCGTTAATAAACGAGCTGTTCCGAGAAGCCCCGCGCGTAAATGTCAGTCCCTAGAGGAGAGGGAACAGTGGGTCCTGCAGCTATCAGGTATCTGGTCACCCAATAGCCAGCAACATCTGGGGGTGTTTTTCTGCTCCGGGCTGTTTAAATATGCCCATGTTTGTCAGAGGTGAGCAGAGCAGCAGGCACCCCGGCTCTGCTGCTCTTAGCAGTGAAGCCACAGCAGCGGCACCGAGCCCCGCTGCCCTGCTGCCCCTGCAGCCCTGTGAGTAAAAGCACAGCATGAAAAGCCAACACTTTCTATTTTGCAGCCAGGAGATGCCACGTTCCACGCTGTGCACTGCCCTAGAGGGCCGTTTCCCCCCCTACTTGCATTCAGTGGGGCAGAAGGCGGTGTGTCACTGAGATTGCATGCCACTGCCACAGTGACAGTTGCATAAGCAGCTCTCAGATATCAGCTTGGCATTCTTCTGCCTTTCACGTGTCCACGTGTGCAACCAAAGGGTCGTGTCAGAAAGCAGCGTGACGCTCAGTGTCCTCCAAAATCCTGTTCTTATTTGAAAGAAGGAATCTTCTTCCTTCCCGTTTCCTTCCCTTCCGTTTTCCTTCCCTTCCCTTTTCCTTCCCTTCTCTTTTCTCTTTCCCTCTTCCCCTTTCCCCCTCCCTTTCCTTCCCCAGTGGTCCCACATCCTCCTGCTTTGCTGCTCGTGCCCCAGCAGTGTTTGGACAGAGGAGGCGATGTTCCCTGCAGGTGTGTGTGCGCCCAGCCCCCCCCCAGTGCTGGATACGAATCAGGCCATATCACAGAGCCTGGGCTGTACATACCGGCCCACACTTATTTACACCGACTGCGCTTTAAATGCAGACCTGTTTCAGTATAAAACTACAACAAAACCCCTCTCTCTGCTTCCTAGAAGCTAATCTAAGCGTTTAAAATAACGCAGCAATGCAGAAATATTTATTTGCTTCTGACATTTCAAAGGAAGCTGAGGCCCTGTGCTAAGAGCAGCCGGGCAGCAGAGCGGAACTGGGGTCACTGAAACTGCTTTTGTCACCAGTGGTTTCCTCTGCAGGTGCAGCTGCAGGCCCTGCGTGTCTGCGTGGCTCTGCTCGTTGGGTGACTTGTTTACAGAGCAGAGAAAGCAGTTGGGTGCTGGGAAGGCTGAAACACTCTCCTTCCTCTTCCATTTCATCGCTGGAAATGGCGCCGAGGGCTGAGCCCTGAAATCCTGCACAGCTTGGGAACCGGGGCTCGTTTCTCCCTGCTGAGCAGCCCTGTTTCCTCACGGTTTACCCTCAGGCTCTGCAGGCTGTTTCAGGAAGCAGCGCAGTCCCATCTGCTTCTCCTCCGGCCGAGGCGCAGTGAGCTGCCCGCTGCAGCCGCCCCGCGAGGGACCTTCAGCCCATTGCCACCCCAACACCCCCAGCACCAGGGCTGGGCACAGTACAACACAGCTTGGATGCCTGCAGGCGTGCAAGGTGGGAATTCACCCTGCACCTTTATTAGGACTTGAAAGAGCAGTTGGACGTTTGCGTCCCGCTATTTACATCCTTCCCATCGGTTCTCACCGGGCGGACAGCCCTGTGACACAGCTCCTCCTGGAGAGGAGCAAGCCCTCCGTGTGCCCGTTGTCTCCCTGGTCTTCCCTCAAGTCTATGGGATAAAACAAGGCACTTGTGGAGGATCCTCCATCTCAGACAACAGCCAACTTCGTCAACTTCCAGCTTGGCCAACTGGACACGTCTGTGGCTTGAGAGAGAACGCAGTGGCCCCAGATCTGCCAGCCCCACGGTGCTGCTTGCATGGCTCCCCTACCAGGAGCACGGGGCTGTGGGGGGGTCTCAGAGCCCAGCAGGGTCCTTGCAGCGTGGGGGGGAATTGTGTCTGTCCATGGGGTCACCAGCATAGCACCTTGGTGGCAGTAACAATGCCACAGCTCAGCACCGTGGTGTGGGGCTGCCTGGCATTTGGGGCTGCTGGGCTCTGAGGTTGGTTCCTAATATCTATGTAGGGTTTTGGGGTTGAGCAGTGGGGCAGGATGGGCAGCAGCCAGGGCAGGACAGTCTCGCTTGCGCAGCTTGGATGCGACCAAGCAAGAGCTGAGAGGCAGCAGGACCTGAGCTCTGTACAAGGCAGCTGGAGGTGGTGGCACCAAGTCCTTGCAGGTCCGTGGTGGCACCAGTGTGGTGCTGCCATGGGGTGGTGCTGCTGATGCCATCCTGGTGGTGGGGGCAGCACCCCTCACTCCTCTCCTGGGTGCTCCCCAACTGTCCATTTGGCCTTCATGTCCCGGAAAGGAGTGATGTCCTCGTAGGTGGCAATCTGCTCCACCTCCAGGCCCTGCCAAGAAGGAAGAGGTTGGGATACGAGGAACCCCCAGCGGGGATCCATCCCTGGAGTGTTTCCCCAGGGAAGAAGGCAGCTTCTGGGATGGGAGGAGATGGTGATAGGTGGATGAACGTGCACAGATCTTGGCTTGGCCCGTATCCACAGCTCTTTATGGCCAACGTGCATCAAGCACTGGGGGTGAACGTGCCCCGTATGCCCTAAAAGGCTGGTGGCAGACACCCAGGAGAGCTGGCTAGTCCAAGGGTCAGGCTGATTTTGTAGAGGTATTTTGATCATTCATGCAGCATTACCTCATAGGTGTGGTCTTCCTCGGGGCTTTCCTTTCCGTCACCCTATGGAGAAGAAAGTCACGGGCTGAGTGTCACCAGCACAGTGTGCTGTGGGGTCCTCCATCCCCTGCCCCAAGGCCAGGTCCCACAGCCCCCACAGGCAGTCCCACACCCCCTGAAATGCTCCCATTCAATGGCCCCAAACACAGTCTTGCACTTGCTGCCTTGCCCAGGCCGTGGGGCACCACCGGGAGAATGGCAGTGCCAAAACCAGGGACGGCCCCACTACTGGGGATGCTGTCGCTCACCTTTTCTAGGAAGAGGAGCATGGGGACGCTGATGAAGATGACCAGCAGGATGGTCTGGATGATGATGATGGTGTCCTTCAGCGTGTTCCTGTTCTGGATCTGCTGGATGTTGCTGCGACCTGGGAGCAGCAGCACAGGGAAAACCCCGAGTCCCCTCTCTGTGCCGCGCTCCCAATGGCTGGGGACACAGAGAGGAGGGGAATGGGACGATGTCCCCTGGGAGAGACCAGAGCACTGCAACCTGCAGGGGCTGGCATCGGGGGCCAGCTCCACCATGGGACGTCCTGAGCAAGAGCAGGAGCAGGGAGAATGTGGTTTGTGCGAGGAAATGTCTGGGATGTGTCTGTGAGATGGGCAGACTGCGTACAAAGAGCCACCTGCTGTGTGATGCAGCACCCACTGCTGATCTGAAGCCCATGTGGACAAACCCGTGTGGACAAACCCATGATGGCCATCCCAGACAGGATGGCACATTTCGTGCGTCCAACACAGGGAGAGCTGGGTGCACAGGAGCGTGATGTAAGGTTTACAGAGTTGGGAAAAAGGTGAAAAAAAATGGAGAAGCAAGGGAAGTGATGGAAGCGATGGGACTGCCACTCACTCATGACTCTGAGCTCCGTCCCACACAAGTAGGGCTGCCTCTTCTCCTCCGTGAGGTTCTTGCTGTCGCACACGTAGATGCCGTTGTCCTCGTAGCTGATCCTGAAGATGGTGAAGTTGATGTAATCGTTTGTACTCTTGATGCTGAAGCGATCGGAGCTCTGATCCAGTGCTTGGAACTCCTCTCCATCCGCCGGCGCTTTGTACCACTGCATGGCGTGGGGCTGACGGGTGTAGCAGATGAAGTGGACAGGCGTGTTCTTCTTGGCAGCCATGTAGCGTGGGTGCTGCCACAGCCCGAAGCACCCGCTGCCTACGGGGGACACGGGTGGGCACGGCAAGCCGGCAGGCTTTGAGTGCAGACTCATGGTTTTCTATGGGAGCGGCTTCAACGGAATGGTTCTTGGTGCTCCCACCCCTCTCTTCCCGCACCTCGTTGGAGGTGTGCTCCCAAATGACAGCCCCGTTATCAGAGAGGCAAAGCGGATCCGACTGTGTGCCCATGTGGGGTTGGGGATGTGCCACGGAGGAGGGCACAGCCTGGAGAAGGGCTTTGGGGCACCTCCAGCTCTGCTGGGGACGGGCAGCCCCATGGATGGGAGGCACCGTGGGGACGTGGGGAAGAGCCCGACAGGTTGGAGGTGTTACCTGTGCTGTTACTGGTGCTGTTCCCGTCTGTTGGGATCCCACCTGTAGGATAGGAGAAGGGGCCTGAGAGAGTGGACAAGGGCCCGTGTAGGACAAACCCATGTAGGACAAACCTGCGTAGGACAAACCTGTGTGGACAAACCTGTGTGGACAAACCTGTGTAGGACAAACCTGTGTAGGACAAACCCATGTATGACAAGCCCACATAGACAAGAACATGTAGGACATGTAGGACTGTGTAGGACAAACCCATGCAGGACAAACCTGTGTAGGACAACCCTGTGTAGGACAAACCCATGCAGGACAAACTCATGTAGGACAAACCCACTTTGTACAAGCCTGTGGAGGGCAAAACCGTGTAAGACAAACCCACGAAGGACAAACCCATATAGGACAACCCCATGTAGGATGAGCCCTTGTAGGACAAACCCATGTAGGACAAACAAGCCCTTGTGGGACAAACCCATACAGGACAAACCCACGTGGAGAAGCCTACGTAGTACAAAGACTTGGACAAATCTGTGCAGGACAAACCCACGTATGATGAGCCCATGTGGACAAACACGCATAAGAAATTCCAGGTGGGATGACAAGTGCTGTGCATGCCCACCCCATATGGGACAGCATGCTTTGGAGCATCAACCAGGACCTATGGATACAAACCCTTCTACGCCCATCCCGTCTCCCGAATTTCCTCTGGGTAGGCAGATTTCTGGATGAGATCCCACCCAAACCTGCCTTTGCTACTCAAACTGGGGACCCCCAGCACTGCAGGCACCCCGGTTCCCCTTGCTGCAGCTGGGCAGGAAGCACAGCTCTGTTTACTGCGTCGCTTCAGTGCCCACCTCCATCTGCTCTCTGCCAAACCCCACTGACTCCTCGCTGTGCAACACACGCAGCCTCCAAAGCCAAAGTCCTTGTTGCAGCGAGTCCCTCAACGCCACCCCAAGAGCTGTAGTGAAACCTGGTGACCAAAACCCTGCAGGGCTCGAACGGGCACCCAGCAGAAGCCCTTTGGGGGAAAGACCCCCAAGAAAGGACCCCCAGTCTGAAGATGGGGTGGGAGCTGCTGCTGGGTTTGGAGATTCTGCTCTGAGCAAGAGGGGGAGGAAGGGGACAGGAGCCACCTCCCGGCTTGGAACGCTGATTCTGCCCAAACAGTTCCACCCCCAAAAACCTTTTTGCTCCCGTTTCTCCCCCTCTCCTTGCTGCTCAAGCTCATGGAGCAAAGGGAGGTGGCTTGGCTGCGGCTTCAGCACTGCGTTGGCCTGATTTCTTCCCGTACTCTGATCTCTGAGTAAATGGTGAAAAAGAATCCTTTTTTCTGCCCCTTGGCCACAAAGGCTCCGCTGCTTCCAGCTGCCCACCAGCTCCCATCGCCACCACCCGCACCCATGGTCTACCTTCTCACATGACCACAAACTTCAAAGCAGATCCACTTGGATGTGGTTGGCTGGATGGAAGCCTGTTGTGCACGAAGCGTAGGGACGCGTGGCGCTGCATGCGCTTCCTCACCCCTACGACCCTCTGCAGCACGGAGCCCACGCTGCTGCCTACCTGCAGCCACAGCCAGCAGCCAGAGATTGGCCTGGAGCACCCACAGCCTCCTGCAGAAATCCCCCATCTTCTCGCTGCGGGCGGCAGGACAGCATCCAGGTCTCAGCCTTTGCACGGCGTTGCTCCGACCTCCGCACTCGAAAATGGCGAAGTGCTGCTCTGCGCACGGCGCTGCCTTTCCTGCTCATGTAAATGGGCTGCAGCGGGGACTTTCCTTTGGGGGGGTGGTTTTGAATGCAGCGCAGACGCTGCGGTGGCCGTCCCTGTGCTGGGCAATGCCAACCCTGGGCTTGCAAAGCTATGAGGGGACCAGAGCCGGTGCTGTCCCTATGGCGAGCCCAAGTGAGGCAGGATTTGGGAACAGGCTGCCCAGGGAGGTGGGGAAATCACCATCCCTGGAGGTGTTCCAGAACCGTGGAGATGTGGCACTGGGAGGCATGGGGGGGGGGGGGGTGGGGGGGGGCTGGACTTGGAGATCTTGGAGGTCTTCCCCAGCCTGAATGATTCTACACGTGGGCACAGATGGACGGGTTGGGGCTGGAGATCTTGGAAGCCTTTTCCAACCTTAACGACTCAATGAATGAGCGTGGTGGGATGGGTGCACCTCCAAGATCCCCAAGTCCAACCCCAACCTGTCCCTACCACAGAATCATTCAGGTTGGAAAAGGCCTCCAAGATCACCAAATCCAACCTCCTCTTCCATCCTGGATGATTCTCTAAGTGGGCACGGTGGGGACGCGCTGCGCTTGGACTTGGGGATCTCGGAGTCTTTTCCAACCTTCACAGTTCTGTGGTTCTGTTTGGGGACGTGGTTTAGCAGGCTTGGTGGGGATGGTTGATGCTTGGACTTGGTGATATTAGAAGTCTTGTCAGTCTAAAAGATTTTGTGGTTGTATTGTTCTACGAGTGCACGTGGTGGGGATGGGTTGGTGACCGGGCTCAATGGTCCCAGAGGTTTTTTTTGACTTTAATGGTTCTACCATTGCACCCCAGGGCTGTGCCCACCTCTTGGCTTTGACTCAGATCTGTGGTTCCCCATCACTGTGCCACAGTGAATCTCCAAGTGCAATGCTCTGTGAGTGAGCACTGGGCTGTAACTCCTTGCAAAAACACCTTGGGGTGCTTCTGCCAGCCGGGCTGGTCCCCAGAGCCCAGCTTTGCCTCCTGGGGGCCTCCCCAAACCCTCACCTCCTGCAGGTTGTTTCCTTTGTGCCGTTTCTGAGCCAGCCTGTGTTCAGGGGAGCAGAAATAAAGGTTTACTGAGAAACTGTGGCCTCGGGAGGGAAAGAGATGATGGGAGAGGTGCCTCCTCCCTGCAGAGCAGTGCAGCATTTGGTGTTAAAATACAGCTGGGACACAGGGTCCCAGGAAGACAGAAGAAGTGGAGATGCCCACAGGGTGGGACAAGCTGTGCTGTGAGCGGTGCAGAGCCGCTGCTGGGCAGCTGCATCCTTCCCCAGCCCTTTCCTATTCATGGTGGCTTGGATTTCACTGCTGTCCCCGTCCCTGAGTGGGGAGAGGGACGCTGGCTCGTGGCACCCCTCCCTGCAGCCCTGTGCCTGCGTGGGGGCCCTGCTTGGATTACACCGGCCCCTGCATGAGCTGTTCCAGCAAAGTGAAAACAGCACTGAGGCCGTGCCACGTCCCATGGGGACCTCAGTAGGTCCTGGGGTGGCTCAGCCTTCACCACGCATGGATGCTGGAACATCCTTCACCTCCTCCCTGTGATGCTGAGCTGCTGCCATGTAGCCAGTGGGACCGGTTCAACTCCACCCACAGATTCCAGTATGGGGCATCTCAAGGCAGTCTACACCTTCCATTCACCAACCCTTCTCCTTGGCTGGACCCACGGCAGCATCTCCTATAGCCCCTGTAGAGTTAGGAGAAGACACCCATGTGCTGCTCTGGGAGTTCTGAGGGGGATTTCAGCCCAGAGGTGTTGAGCAGCTCCACATTGAGGTCCAGAGGGTCCCCAAATCCCCCTTCTCTTTGTCTGGACCAACAGCTGCATTTCCTATAGCCTCTACGGGGCTGGCAGAGGCACCCAGCAGCCCATGGTTCCATCCATGAGCAGCTCTGGGGCTTTCAGCCCAGAGGTTCTGGACGGTGCCCCATTGGGGTCCAGACCCATCCAGGAGGCCTTTGGAACCCAGGCAGAGGGAGAGGTGGGGAGATGATTCCCCCTCCCAGTGGTATGGAAGGCACTTCCCCCCCCGCACACACCAACGCGTTTGGTGTCGTAATAAGAGACCGTTCACGGTTGTTTATTTTAAGAAATGTACAAAGAGAAATGGCTTCAGCTCGCACAAACTCTGCTCTTTGGCATTTTCCCGTCACCGACGACACGTACATAGAAGCAGCATTCATGGTGAACCTCAACCCGGGCTGGAAAGCGCCCGGCCGAACGCATGGGGACCCACCGAGCTCTATGGGGTGCCACAGGGCATCCGCAATGGCTGGGAGCCAAAACCAGCCCGAGGAAGAAGAAAGAATAATAATAATAATAATAATTAATAATAATTAATCATAATAAAAAACAGAAAAGAAAAAGGAGGAAAAAAAAAAAAAAAAAGACAGACCCTTTGGCTTCACGCAGCAGCCCTTGTTTTAAGTGGAAGAGGTTTTGGTTCGTGGTTGTTTTGCTCTCAAGACTTACGGGGCCCCATTTGAGCAGCTCAATGCAGACCATTCCCCAGGCCCCAGGGATGCGACTCGTTAGCTGACATTAATTTCTGCTTTCCGTGGGGCTCAACGTGGTTTTGTTGCAGGGAATTCCCACCCCTGCCCATGGCTTTCCTGCCACAAAATCTGGATGGAACGGGAAAAACAGGAGCATGAATAGAAACGGAGTTTACATTCGAACCGTGGAGACCTGAATGATTCATGGCGCGTATTCGGAGACCTTGAAGGTCTGATCTTTAACCCTGAGAACGCACTGGGGGCGCTTCGTTTGGGCGATGCAAACAACTGCTTAAGACATCACTGCACTTCCTTCGTGCGTACCAAAAATCAATGCACAGAGCTTATGAAAAGATCCCGGGGAAAGGAGCGACTTTAAGACTTCGGAGTTCTTTGCTCACATGAACCTTTCCGTAATTGTTCTCGATGTTATTTCACTTGGCTCATCTTTCGCCCGCTGCCCTCTGGGGGAGTCATACGCAAGGAATTGTGAAATAGCATTAATGAACAATTACCCGCAGTGAAAGGACAGCCGTGCTCGTTTGTTAATGTCTGAAAAACGTCGTTACCGTGATTAGATCATTCCAAAACTAAGATGCTTCTCACCAACAGTGGAGATTTCACATGTCAGTCGCATAAGAAAAATATCCAACTCTTTGCGAGCGCAGTGAGCTACAAAAAGGATCGTGAGATCCCGCTCAGAAACGAAGGTGTCAGCTTGAAACCTCTGAAATTAGCTCAGCATCTAAGACCTACCGACCTGAACACGGGAGGCTTCTTGAAGAGGAGATACGAACAGAGTCTTTTCAGATGCCAGGAAATGGGAGCTGCTCTCTGTTACACCAACGACTCTTTCACGACGCGCTGCCCACCCGCTGGCTTTGCTTCTACAGGAGCACTCGGAGTCTCTGCGCTCGGGACGGGTGCGAGATCAACAGCAGCGCCCACCTCTGCCTCGGTCCCACTGTTCCCATACATCTCGTGCATTTTGGTTGCAATCAGACCTTCCTTCTCAGGGGCGTCCCCAATCAGTGCCTCCTCATCCCTGCTGTGCCGGTACATGTAGGATGCCTGCTTGACCGAGCGCCTCAGCAGGTACCTCCGAAACGCCCGCTGGATTTTCGTTGCGCACACCTCCTCGTGTTTCCTCTTCAGAGTGGTGGTGATGGGTTCGTAGGAGACCTTTGAGGGGTTGGCGGCCATGAACTTCTCCTCCATGGTGTCCTTCAAGGCGTCCATCTCTCCGGAGTCCCCCAGCACTTCCTTTGTCAGGGCAAAGAGGATGTCCAGGCAGTGGATTTTGTCCCCGGCAACCATCGGTAAATCCATGGTGATCAGCTTGATCTTGTTTGGCTTGGGGATTTTGAGCGGCTCCTGCAGGGTGTCCACAAAGTCAGACAAGGTGCTGTACGCGATGAACTGGGTGGCGTCCGGGTCAAATTTCTCCCAGGTTTCATAAAACATATCAAAGTCGTCCTCGCAGAGCGGCTCGCTGCTCTCCTCCGTGGCCACGTTGAAGTTCTCCAGGATGATGGCGATGTACATGTTGACCACGATGAGGAAGGAGATGATGATGTAGCTGCAGAAGAAGAAGATGCCGATGGATGGATTGCCGCAGTCGCCCTTTACTGAGCTGCCAGGATTCTCCAGGTTGGGGTCGCAGTCGGGGGGACCGCTGTTGAGGATCGGGCTGAGCAGCCCATCCCAGCCTGCCGACGTGGTGATCTGGAAGAGGCAGATGATGCTGTTCCCAAAAGTCTCGAAGTTGAAGATGTCGTCAATCCCCGCCTCCTTCTTTACGTAGGCGAAGTTGGACATCCCGAAGATGGAGTAGATGAACATGACAAGGAAGAGCAGGAGGCCGATGTTGAACAGGGCAGGGAGGGACATCATGAGAGCGAAGAGCAGCGTCCGGATGCCTTTAGCGCCTCGGATGAGCCGGAGGACGCGGCCGATCCTCGCCAGCCTGATGACCCTGAAGAGCGTGGGTGACACGAAGTACTTCTCTATGATGTCTGAGAGGACGATGCCTGTGAAGGGATGAAGAGGAGGTGAATTTGGCACGCTCTGCGCGTGAGACAGGGAGGTGAGGTGGCACGGGGTGTCCTTGGCTTCCCCCTGCCCACAACACTTCCATTATCCAGTGGAACCCCTTGTGCTTACCTGCGATGGAGAGGATGACCACCACAAAGTCAAAGATGTTCCAGCCGATGGTGAAGTAGTAGTAGCGCAAGGCAAACATCTTTAGCACACACTCTCCAGTGAAGATGACGATGAAGACCA